AGTATTACATTTATATACATTTGTTACATTTCAATTACAAGCAAAGTATAATTGTAATTTTGAATTGTAATTGATATATAAGTACATTATTATGTTATATTTGCTATTATTAATTACATTTGTTGCGACTTTTTCGTGATGTCGATTACTGGAAGTCCTACATATTCCAGATCAATGGGTGATGAGCGTTAGCTTGACGGCATGAAGAATCCTTTAGGGCTGTGCCACAACTTTACTCGTGCTCGTGACAAAGCAGTGATCCACTCACTGGAAGGTCTAGTACATGGGGCACCAAGGATTGGGGAATAAAAAGCAAGTAGTTCCCCCTTCTTTCAGACCCGAGACCTTAAACGAAGATTTCAGATAGTTCACCGATGCGAAGGGACATACCTGCACCCTTTGCAAAACATATTTATTTACAACATACTGTACTTACCTATCTGCGTGTCGTACAACCCGAAGTTGGCCAGAATGTCTTACAAAGTTACAATTCGAGTTTCATTTAAGAGACCTGCTGTGCAAAATACTGTGATCTTTGCTCGCCCTGACGCTATTATCCTACGATGAAATTCATGAAAGAGCACTTTGCAAAATGGCATCACTTATAAGATTTTAACCAATTGATCACTTCCTTGCACCCCCTGGTCAGTTTGTCGATTCTATCACTGCAACCACCAGCTATGTCCATGTACTTGCAACCGCACCATGGGTCTGATGTTTCCCTAACCTCGTCCGCGGCACATTCCACATACTCAGTCACGTCAACCAGTCCCCAGTCCAAAAATCGGAAGAAACACAAGTGGAAAAGTGTAAGGTCCCGTGCAGTAGAGATCGGTGCGATCGAAATTGGGAATATTGTAGAATCAAGGTCCGAAGGATTGACCAATAGTAACAAAAGACTTAATCTACAATTTACTAACGTCGATGAGCGCGACGAAATTCCGCACAAGCACATAGTCGTTGCGATCGACTCAGTGCGAGGGACGCTCAAAACTGTCATGATAAGTAGTTTTGGAAGTCTGGAAACACACGATGACTTCAGGGTGAAACATGGAATTGATAATGCTGAAAGGTTCATTAAATGGGTGTGCCCACTAGTGGATGAAGAAAGGCCGGGACCAACGTTTTACACTCCCAACTTTAAGATCGAATATCGCAAGGACTCTGAAGTTCTGCCCTTTGCACATTGGGCATACCTAGCAAGATTCTTCACGGTAAGTGAATACGCTGGTGACTTCGTGCCTGCACGACAAAGAGTTTTTAACCGGGTATGGGTGTATCTCGTTTGCCACTTCTTAGAATGGACTGACACGCGCATACATAACAGTTTACTCGTTTGTCAAATATAAGAATAGCTGAGGAGTCTGTAAGGGCCCTCGTGAGGCTCGTGGAACAGAGAGAAAAGGAGATTCGACATGAAGAGCTGAACGGCAAGCCGGGAGACCTAAATGAATTATATCCGAGTCTTCCTGCGACTGAGAGCGGAAGTGCGACTCCAGAAGCTGCTTCATCTTTGCTTAGGAGATCCACTAGTATGGGATCACAAGCATGGTCAGAAGTCGCAGGACCACCAAGCACGCACAAACGGAGCACTGATCGTCGCCTGTCAGGCATTTCACAGGCATGGATACCTGGACCCATCTCTCCTGGACATACATTCACATCAACCGTGCTTGGTTCAGGAACATCCGCTGGTAAAATAGTCGAGGAGCCCGGGGAAATAATCGCCGAGCAGGACACAGGATTAGCACACCAGCCGTCCTCCAGAGGATCTCACAGAGGTGGTCGTGCCAGTTATGCCCACATGGCTCGAACCGGAAGTCATACTCCAATTACGCCTACAGAATCGAGAAGAAGCGATCATGCTTCTACAAGAGGCCACAGGGATTCGCAAGGTAAGAATACGAGAGACCAGACCCAAACAGACGATGGCAACACAAGAGGCTTCGAGAACAGTACAAGAGCACGAGGAGGCAAGCGGAAGAGCAAGAGAAAAACCTGGGTGTCGTACGAGGAGTGGAAGAAATAAGACGATAATGTAATTGAACCAAAGCTAACCATGGCGCGCGAGTACGCATTCCTTGCTTCGAAGTTGCTCTGAGTGTACATATCCTAGTCATGATTCTGCAACTCAACTGTCATAGTTAAATAGAAAAGATTTTTCGCCTCATCCTAATATTGCAATGCTTTGTACGCGCTGTTCGTTAGGGTGTGGAGTCGGTTACTTTACTAGCTGATGCTGCACGCATTCGCGCGCATGTTGACCAAAAATGGACTAAATTAACTACTGAACAGGTCATGAGCCGCGAAAGAAGAAATGACATTTTCAGTTCGTCTAATCCAGAGAGAAAAGTTACTCACGGGTATTGAACATAATAAAAATTGAGACAGATTAATGAAAGTGTGTCATGTGAAATCTATATCACGAGACTCACTCCATCATATCCAAATCCTATCCCATATTGCATCACACGTCAACTCCTAATCTGATCGGCCATGCCGTCACCACTCAAAGATGCTTTCGAGAGAGACGGCTTCGTCATAGTCGACAGCCTCGTTCCAGATGCTCAATTTAAGGAACTCCAAGCAGCCTGTGCTCGCGTGATCGCCAAGACTCGTTCTGGCGAATGGCAGCATAGACGTGTCTTGGGAAAACAATTCCCACCTTTTGATAGCGATAATCCGGATTCCTGGGGTGTACAGCATATTATGCACCCAGATTTGAAGGAGCCTATTTTTGCAAAGTGGTATACAGGTGATGAGCTTATGGGCGCTGCTAAGTCTTTGCTGGAATGTGGGGATGAGCATCTACAGATGGGTTTGTCGTCCGCGTTGCATCAAAAAATCTTGGATTAACGCTCCACCAATGCTGAAATGACAGAACTGTTCAATCTCTTGATAAACCCGCAATCGCATGAGTTCGCCCTTCGGTGGCATAGAGATGATATTCGCGAGAATGCTACCGAAGAAGAAGAGGTCAAAGCACTCGCACTTTGGCATCATGGAGTAAGTTTAACCAGACCAGGAGGTGACTGAACATGTCGTCTAATCACGGTAAAAAAAACCAGGTCCAGTGGAACACGTACGCTCAATTTCCACGTATACGAGCATCGCAATTGAATCTCCAAATCAACCAGTGCACTTTACGAGGATGATTGCTTATACGTCGTTCCGAGATCGCATGCACAACCCCGTACGCCAGAGCAACGTGCTCACTCAGAAACCCTCGATGCTCCAAAGGACCCACTGGACATGCCCGGAGTACTTCAAGTCAAATTGAAACGTGAGCGAATTTCTGTTCCGCCTCAATAGACTTCTCGTCTGAACTTGGCATCACAACCGCAGCTGGTCAGACAGTCTTTTATAACAACAACATCCTGCACTGTGCAAGGTATTCTCCACACAGTCAACGAGCAACATTGCATGGCTGTGTCGGTGATACCCGAGGCGGTTCGACTAGGGCACGAAACGTTCTTCAGCACGGGTTGAAGTGGATGCAGGAGGACCGGTTTAGGGAGACATTGCCAGAAGGACGAGCGCGGGATATGCTGGACAGGCTGCTTGAGATGGAGAGTCGCGAGGGAAATGGAAAGATTGCGTATTCATTAAGTGCGTAAAGAGAGCATGATTTGAGGATATGCGCGGAATTGGTTGTATTTAGTCCGTGTTCGATAGTCATTCCTTGCTGCTTGCAAGTCTCCAATGCAATATGTTACGACCGCGAAATGTGCTGACTATGTGTAAATCGATCTATGGATTCTATCTTCAGTACAACGAAGATGCTGACGTGGCAAAGTAAATGCCGATCGCATACTTTGCACCTGCTTCCTCGCCTGGTTTCGACAACCATTCTTGCGGATTATTTGTCCTGACCAAACAAACTAAAGAAAATTCTTTTCGACCACATTATTTTCCCATTCACCCCTTTGCAGCGCCGTTTATGCGGCCCTCCGCCTCTCTTTTCGCAAAGTCAAGTTCGTCGAAGCAATGGCTCGCTCGACAAGCCCGCGATCCATACGTGAAAGCACGAGCAGCTAGCGCCTCTCAGTACCGTGCGCGTTCTGCGTTCAAGCTCCTCGAGTTGGACAAGAAATATAACATTATTAAACGTGACAAGACGAAGGTCGTGGTTGACCTTGGTGCGGCGCCTGGAGGATGGAGCCAGGTTGTTGCTGATATTCTGGGCGTATCGAGGGCGCAGGAGACGGTAACGGAAAGGTCAATTGCTGAAGCTGTAGAAGGCATCCTTACGGACCGCGATGTAGATGCTTGGAGTACGACTGGCGAATCGTTTTCAGAAAACTCGGGAGAACTGTCGGGAGAAAAGACTATCATTGCTCTCGATTTGCTCCCTATTTCTCCAATACGCGGCGTTCGCACTGTACGACAAGACTTCCTTGCCGGAGGTGACGCACTTATTGCATCCCTTTTACCGTCACCGGATACTAAGGCAGATGTTATATTGTCTGATATCGCACCAAATATGACCGGAAACAAGACCCGAGACGAAGCTGCGTGTCTGGAGGTGTGCGAAGCCGTTTATCGTTTTGCAGCTCGTTACCTGCGCGTCGGGGGAAGCAGCGCTTCAGAAGGTGGAAGTCTGGTGTAAGTGATTTTTATTTTGTCAAAGTCTTCTGGGACGCTTATATGATCTATAACATCACCCAGTCTGAAGCACTTTGCTAATGAATCGACCAAGGCGTTCTATCTTGACAGATTAAAACCGAACTTCTATCATACGTACATCGTCAAACCGGACGCAAGCCGAGATGAATCCAGCGAATATTACTTCGTCTCGAAAGGGTTCAAGGGTGATACTATGCACGAGGATACTGAATAATCTCAACTTCACGCTATATTCTAGCGAAGTTTAATAAGATCGTGGACATCCACGGCCTTACTTTAGGTCTCACTGCTTCGGCAAAACCTCTGGGCTTCCGGTGTTCCACACAGTCTCGACCTCAAACACTCATCGCTCACCGTACTGAAAGCTCCAAACACTAGATGTACTGCACAATAGACATTTTACACACACTGCGGTATCACACTCCAATAGCAGGCACATTGCACGCACCTAGCATATAACTAGAGACAGTACTGGTTTGACTGAAAAAGTATGTTTGTGACTACTTAATCACTTTGCTCTCGTGAATGATATCAATAGCAGTTTGCACGTTCGTAACTTAGATCACCCTTGCCATTGCAGGCTTATCCAAAAAGATCCTGACAACATTGCTGATAACCTGAGGAACGACAACTGCAACAATCAATTTCCTCCTGAGCATCCATGTACAACTTTGTAAGTCAAGCTACTTTGCCTGTGTCCGTTTACATCTTACTACTCTTGCTTCTACAGTGAGAATTGAATATCGGCGGAACCGCAAAATACGCACATGCATGCATTAAAGCCTGTTATATTCTTCGATGGTTACAAACTAATCAGGATCACCCTTTAAAATACTTCTGTAAACCCAAATCTCGTCTGTAGCACTAATTGTAGGTTCTAACATGTCTGTCAACGCACAGAGGCATAGCTATGCTCTAAATAGTCCACCACCGTTGGTTAACCTCACACCATTCGAAGTAAAATCCCACAAAGCACCAAAGCATCATGACAGATGGAAGGACCCTATTCCCTACCTGACACCATGCAGAAAGTTGGGGCAATGGAGCTTTTGGCCTTGTATGGGTGTGTACATCATTCTCACTCTCCTTATTCCAGTCTACCGTCTCAACTAATCTACGTAATGTCTGAAACTTATTCTGACCGATAAACTCTATTCTTACAGGAAGTTACAAGGCCCGATATTAAAGACGGAAATGGAGAAGAAGTAAAATTCGCAGCAAAAATTACTAAGAAACCAGAAATACAAGACAAAGAATCTCAAAAGTTAGCTGAAGAAGATGAAATATGGGTGAATAGTGAAGCTCTGATCATGAGGGAGCTTCGCCACCCTAATGTGGTGTGTGTTAGTTCACAATGCATGTCCTTCCCGCTTTTCACACTGTTGGTTTTAAAAGCTCGAATTTTACGGTGTTTTCGTTAACGATTATGCATGGGTTATCATTTGTGAATATGCTAAAGGTGGAGACCTTGAAGAGCGCATTAAGTCTCGAGGTCCCTTCAGAGAAAAGGAGGCAAAGCATTATGCATGGTACGCTATTTAATCTCCCGATCAGCCTTAAGGATATCTAATTGGAAGTGAACAGGCAACTTGTCAAGGCGGTTGCTCATTTCGATTCACATCACACATTACACAGAGATCTAAAGTAAGTTCTCCTCTAACTCAATTTTATTGTTGAACTCAATATTTCATGACGTTCATCTTACTGGTTAGGCCAAGCAATTTGCTAATTAGGACCTATAATACTCCTTCACGGTCATCCGACTCTTCATCTTCCTCATCTTCGTCGGATGAGAAGGTGAAAGAAGCAGTTGTGGTTGGTGATTTTGGGAAGTGAGTTGCAAATCATTACCATACACCTTCGAGCCGATCTAATTGACATCATACTTTCTAGTGCAAGAAGAAATGAAAAACGCAAAGCGCACAAATTATGCGGGACACTCAGATATTTAGCCCCGGAACAGTCCAAAGGAGAGTACACGACCAAAGTTGATATGTGGTCGGTAGGGTACGAAGCTTTCTTTCTTGATCACGAAGGAAGTTTACTCAAGCCGGAAATATACATGTAGGAGCATTGTAAGCGAACTTCTGACTAAATCCAATACATACGACGCTATCGGCTACCATCGAGTTCTCAAGGCCAAACAAAGCAAAGACAATACAGAGGATTTCGAGATAGTAATGACGAATGCAATGATTGATAGGATATTTAATACAAATATCTGGAGATTCATCTCTAACGATGGTAAGTTAAGAAATGATCATGGAATGCATGATGTGATATAAGGACTGATTTAACTTGGTATAAAGCCAAGAGCTTCGTTCGGCGGTGCTTAGAGGTGGATCCCGAGAGAAGAATGTCTGCACACGAAGCACTGGAACATCCTGTATGTCATAGTCTCATTTACACTGATATATCCAGTAATTTTATTTATTTATCACATCTCTAGTGGATAAGTGAGTACAAGAGAAATGCAGTGGAGAAAACAGAAATTCCGATTAGGACCAAGCAGTCACAGAGGAAGAACTCGATTTCTGCAAAGCATGGAACACCGAGATCTTCACAAAGATCGGAGGATTTAGAAGGACGTAAAACTGCAGCAGGTTCAGCTCTGAGTCAGCACCAAAAAGTAAATGCTAGCACAGATACTAAAGACGCTCGCAAGGGAGGACGTAGACATGGTACTAAGTAATATCTATGTTTGCCACTCTCGTTCATGCACTCCATTTGCTTGTTAGTTATCAATACATTCAAATATGTTATAATAAACAATATTGTGATAATACACAATCAGCATTACCTTTTCTCAAAACCAAATGGCTATTCTCTACCAAGATTTAATGCCATAATACATAAATCTCATAACAAATCGATAAATAGTTTATCCTAGCATTATGGCTTATGACATACTTTACTGTAATGAAATTGCTGTAGTTGTAGCATAGTGAAACAAAATGGTTAGTCATGGGCATTGTTACACACAAACATTCTGCAAGATACACACTTGCCCCAAGATCAGTTTACACATTCGTTTGACTGTTTTAGTTGAAATTTGAATACAGAATGGCAAAAATGCGCGCTGATTACACAAGCAAAAATGACAAACTTACTAAATAATCAAGGAATGATCGATGTTCCCCTCGGAGCGTCTTGTCGGCCAATGGACCTTTGCGCGCGCGTCATACAAGTTTGTCAAATAGTAGAACACGGTCACAGGCGGCACCGCCGAGCTCGCGCAGTTCTCCCTCCCTTCTTTTCTATCAGTCCCCATCATGGCGAGCAAAAGCAACTCAGGAAAAGATGTTGTTGATGCAGAAGAAGCTGCTCTGCTAGCAGCGACCAAGGGCTTCGACCATCTCTTCTCAAACCGACTCGCGGACGCGCGTGAACAGTTTGCGTCGGATGATTCGCCGTATCATTTACTTGGACAGGGAGTTTGCGCGTTCATGCAAGCTGCGCTGGGTATGGAGGTGCGACTCCACGAGCTTGCTGATCCTATCTATGCCACAATAGCTAAAACAGAAGAGGTTATTAGACAAATCTGATGGGCGAGGCTGCGCGGTGTCTGAGCGAGTCGGAAGCGGGTGCGAAGAAGGGTAGCAGGACGAATAAGTCTGCAAATGGCGGAAAGAGCTCGTTCCCTCCTGGAATTGAGTTTGAGATCTTGCAAGCGGACGTGATTGTACTGCAGGGTCTTGTTCACGCATTGAGGTGAGTTACACGATCGGATTGACTGTTGAGTTGGTTGCTGATGTGGTAAAATTATAAGTGAATCATATATGGGATATCTTCAATGCCTGTTCGTATTTTAGCAACAAAAAGTAGTTTTATGCTGATTAATAATTTTTAGTTACGCACTGAACAAGTGAGCATGTTTATTTATGCTAACACGGACTTCACTTATATCGCCGTATCTAGCGCACATTCGAGGTTCACGAAGTATGTCCTTTTCCATTCTTCCTACTTTTTATTTACTCATTTTTCTCCAGGCTATATAAGACCGTTTTTCCGACTGGAATTGACTCATACATCACGCCTGCAACTACCCCCATTCCTTCTCGGAGCCCCTCAACGCATTCCCTGGCCTCGGCGGGCTCCGTGCGTTCTACAACGGAAACTGTCACTGCTTCATCTGTGTCGTCTAAAGGAAGTTCGTTCTTGGGTCGGTGGGGTCTTTCCGCGTCGAATGCCTCCAAAGGTCCTCCACAGTCGGTGCTCGAACCGGAAGGCCCAGTGGAAGAACTAATTGTATCCGGCGCAGCTTTCGGTATGGCCAATATGAATGTGTCGTGCTTGTGTTCCTGGTTCATCAATTTCTTATTAGGTTATGGACTTTTCAATCTCGTATTCTCTCTCCTTCCCGCAAAAGTCAAGTGAGTGGCATGAACTCAGATGGAATAGTATTCAACGTTCATTTCGTGAATTAGAACTGTAGTTGGATTATTTGGCTTCCAACATGATCGACGATTGGCTTTGCAGGCGTTAGCTGTCTCTGCAGCAAGGAAGGACGTTCATGCAGTCTTCTCCGGGTAGGCTGTACTCCGAGTCTCCTGGATCACGATCCGTTGTGTCTTACTTCATTGTTCAGGTTGACTCTTATGACGTATCATGGAGTTGTGCTTCTCATGTCTGGATACCAGGCGGACGAGGCACATATCGTGAAACAGTATAAAGCAATTGTTGATAGGTGAGTATATGCCCCGTGTTATTCTCAATATGCTTGCAACTTCGTTTCTAGTGCGATATCACGCTATCCAGATGGTGCTTTATGGATCTTAAACCGAGTAAGGAACGCCAATAGTTCCTGATTTCCGAGTGGCTAATTAGGAAAATGCAGGCGAAGATTCTTCGTATGACATACGATCCGGAAGGTGCGATAGCTGTTTTACAGGATGGCTTACGACCTGAGCGACCAGGCCACTTCCAGCAGGCCGATGCACTTGTGCGTAAAGCAAATTTCGGATTTTACCTGTGTTGACTGCATTGCTGATGCCTATCAAGCTTGTTTTCGAACTCGCATGGACGCTGTTATCTCAGCGACGATACCAAGAAGCCGCAGACATGTTTATGCGCATGACGGAGGTTAATACTTGGTGCGATTACACACCTACACGGTGCTTTCTCGATCTGAAAATCTTCGTTATGATAGGAGTCATGCTATGTATTACATGCTTGTGGGCGGTACAATCGTCATTATCAATAGTGCTTGGACTATGACTAATTTGTTCCTTGTAGGATGTTATGTATCCCTGGGCGACCGCGTCAAAGCGAAGGAACTCTTTGACAAGATCCCTTCGTTCCTGGATAAGCGAAAGATTGGTGGTAAGGAGATCCCAATGGAGACGGTGATCAGGAAGAAACGTACGTATCGCGAAATCCCCCTCACGCTGCTCGGGTGCTTATATTCAGTTCGTGACTTTTTAGTTGCCTTCTACAAAGCCAAGGCGAAGAGGAATGGGTCGGACGAGTCTGCTTATGTTGACTTCATGAAGATCAGCCCTACAGAAGGTATAGTCTAGTTTCCTCCATAAGCTGCATTTATCACTTACAAATGTCTGTGTTGCAGAGCTGGCAATAAGTGAGTATAATTCATCTACGGCGTTAACATGAAATACATCCTACTAATGCCTTCACTGCAGTCTGGAACACGCACCAACGCATAACGAAAGAAATTGCAGTCGAACATATCAAAGTGCTCACTTCACTATCACCTCCCGTAGCTATCACAACGAGTTCCTACGTCATCCCACCCGATGCCGATGCCGAGAAGAAAACTACAAAGGACCTCGATACCCCTGACGAGCTTGCGATACGCTCATTCATCCTCGGGATAGTCCACCGCACACTAGAAGACTTTGCATCTTCACGGGCTTTCCTCACAGAAGCGTATTCCCACCAATCAGAGATTATTGATAGTAAATGGGTCGGCGGAGTGGCGCTATTCGAGCTCGCGGTTTTAGACCTCAAGGAGCTTGAATTTCGTGAGAAGACGAAGCCCGAATTAGATGCGAACGAACTCAAGTCGGAATGGGCGAAGGTGTTGAAGACGGCTAGCGAGAAAATAGAGAAGGCGATGTCTATCTCTGGAAGTACTGTGGATTTGTCATCTAGGTTGGATGGTCGGGTGAATATGTTGCGCGATGAGATTGGGATCAAGAGGGAGATGCTTGGACTTTAAATGGATACATGCTTATTCACGTGTATGGACATAGAGCAGTGTAGATTAATTATTAATGGCCCAATGGGTACCTGTATTTATTATATATCCTGATACACGCATACAGTATATCTTTGTCAATACGAAGCGAACTTAATACACATCATGAGCAAAGTACCTCTCCTTCCTTGTTTTATTACTAATCCTATATATAGATATGCAATATTGTGGGAGGATTATCATATTTATGTGGAAGAGACATTGTATATGCAGATATTAAAGCAGTGCGTATGTTCTCATCGTTTAGGCATTGCAAAACTATTCATTCCTTATTTCGATGTTCCTTTGTAGAACAATATTAAAGTATTGTTGGGTCTGATGGCTGCGGACGGGATGACTTCAGTCTCTCTCGAATGCTCGGAATAATGGTATCGCGCTTGAAGTAACCTCTTGTGGTGGCCAGAGATGTAATCGCTGGATGGCAGTCGAGTATGCATCGTTAGAAACTCGGGTTCAAGCTCCTTCGAGCCGTACAAAAGCAGGTGACATTTTGGAGTTTTCCCTGGGTTGATTATGCGATTTTTCTCAAGAAAGGAATTACCAGAATTTCCACCGGGGACATTGAGGCCTGACCTCAAAAAGTACAGGATTAAATATTGACCTCATTGCATTCTGTTAATTGTATTTTGCTGGGTAACAGGTTACGGGTCCATTACAACGATCCGCTATATGCGTTCACACATAATACATATGAAACACGGCTATTTACTTTGCTACCAAGTATCCATATAATACGGTCTGTACACAAAAGGTGTATGTGTCTAATACGCAATGTAGTGCATAATGTTACTGTAACTGTAGTCGTGGTGCAAATAAAGATGCTTAGTCATGGGCGGGCACAGTCACCGGCGCGGAGAAACTGAAATGAGCGAGTGCACAGCAATCACTGACCACCGTCGCAGTCTGTACAATCACCACGCTCTATCACTTGTACATTCATTCACCCAACAACAACCACCTCTAAGCCTTCTTCTCCATACGAAAGTAGATACTATGGAGGGCTGGAACAAGATACAAGCCAACCTGGCCAACCTCAATATCGGCCAGTCGGCGTCCAAGTTTGCAAAGGGTTTCAACTCGTCTGTTCAGGCGACGAGGGAACGTCTAGGACAGATTGCACCGGAGGAGATTACTGAGCTGCCGCAGGGTATGTCTGGCGTCTATTTTACTTATCATCGTTAGCATTTAACCTAATGTGTTATATGTACTTTGTTTCATTGGGGATGTGCTATAGAATACAGGGACCTCGAAGCACGCGTCGACGCGCTCCGCGCAACTCATCTTGCTGTTCTCAAGTACGTACACATCATTCATCTCCCCATCCATTACCACGCTTCTCTAGCAGACTATCAAATTCACTAACACGCATATGTGATACGTGAAACAGGATAGCCAAAGTCTACGAATCAGAATCCTACGACTACCCCGTCCAGATCCAAGAATCCATCGCCCAACTCTCAACTAACATCGGTCACGGCCTCACCAACTTCGCAGCGACGAATCTCAAGGGCACGAACCTCCCCGCACCGCAACCTGTTGCCGCTACGCCAGTGCAACACAAGACGCTCCCACATGCACTCGGTCGTGCAGCTACGACTGCTGCAAAGTCGTTGCAGGATGCCGGAGCTGGTGCGGGTGGAGATGAGAAGTTGGCGAAGGCGTTGACGTTTTATGCCGCTGCTTGGGATAAGGTATATACCAAATCCCTTCTTTTTTCCCATTTTTTACTCGAGTTCATATAACGCGCCTACTGACCATGCCTATCTATTTATAGGTCGCAGCAGCTCGTTTAGCGCAAGACGCAGCCATCCGCAATAACTTCCTCCTCCCCTGGCAATCAACCCTCACCAACTCCATCACAGTAGCCCTCAAAGCTCGTCAAGCAGTCGCTACCTCGCGACTTGAACTCGACGCTGCGAAACAGGCGTTTAAGAACGCTGGACCGGCGAAACAGGAGCAGGCGAGGTTGGAGGTGGAGAATGCGGAGGATGATTTGGTGCAGAAGACGGAGGTGGCGATTACTTTGATGAAGACTGTTTTGGAGAACGTGAGTTGATGGTTTTACTGTTTGATTATTTCCTTTTTTTTTAAAAAAAAAAGATACTGATGTTTCGATGTGATACAGCCTGAACCCCTGAAAGACCTCAACGAACTCGTCAAAGCACAACTCGCCTACCACTCTGCAGCAGCAGAGGCATTGAACGCTATCCAGGGCGATATTGAAGAGCTTAGCGTCGCTGCCGAGGGAGATTACAGGTAACGTCATTCACTTCCCCTATAAAAAAGGTTTTATTCTTCATGACGGAGACGCTGATGAAACTTGCCTTAGGAAGTCTCGCGAGCACTGAAGTGCCCCTCCACTAATTGGACAACATCGCACCAGAATAAATAAACCGATCCGAGTAGAATGCCGAGTGTGGAAAATGTGGAAGATAAGGATATGTTGTGATGTGTAGTGTGTTGGCATCCCTGGACTCCTTATTCGCTATGCTATTCAGGCGAATGAAGTACATACAAATGTATCTTCGTTCAAATCTGTCCTTCCCTTCTCCTTATCTTTCTGTTCATCATGCTTCTACTTCACCTTTATCTTTGTCCTTTTCTGTGCTAATGTATGCATCACGTCCTTTTTCGATTGCGCAAGCGCAATTCCACTACGTTTCTCCTCTTCTGTTTTCCTTACTCTTAGAATCTCAGGTTCAATATAAGACACGGAAAATCTGTAGGTTTGATACAATCGAGAAACGAAAATTTCATTGTGCCACGCATTGAAATACACCAAACACACAAACACACCACGCTTAACTGATATCCATCTCATCCCCACCAGCAGTCTGCAACGACACAACCTCTTCATCAACCACAAGGTTCCTCACACTCTCCTTCTGCCACGCCGTCGTCCCCCTCCTAAACTTATACACATTCTCCTTCGTAGCACGTTCGTTCGGCCTTACATAATTCCTCATATTCTCCGTATGGTCTGCCGTAATCACACATGCATCGACGTTTGAACCGGAACCGAGGTCGTTGAAGATACCAGCGGAGATGGCGGCTACGACGAGTGAGAGGGCTTCTTGGCGGGACATGTTGGGTTTCCAGGAGGATTCGAAGACGGACATTGCGGCGAGGGAGCCGGAGCCCATTGTTACGTAGGGAAGCTTGTCGGTTGAGCCGTGTGGGGCGACTGTGAAGAGGTGGGGGCCTGTACTGTCGACGCCGCCCAAAACGAGTGCGGCACTGACGTAGCCTTGGTATCTACGAGTATACAATGAATAGGGTTAAGATTAAGAAATGGAATGAGATTGAGAGGTGGACAAAACAAACCGGAAGAGATACTGCTTGAGCATCGTCATAGCCGTAACGACGCGCGGCGTCCGTCCAGTCGACAAAGCATGCAACTCCATATTACTCGATATCATCGCCGTAGTGAACTCAGTATCTGCAGCCGTACCCGCTCCACAGCACCTAATGTTCTCCGTAATATAATGAATCTATCCATCCAAATTCCCGTCAATTTCAATTCCACTCTCAAGGTCAAGGTACTGCAGCAGCAGCAACAGAGGCTCGCACCTTCTCGCAATTCTTATCCTCAACAATCTTCCCAGCCGTCGCACGCGTATCCGCACCTAGTACGACACCATCCTTGAATATACACCCAACGATAGTCGTACCCGTGCTCGTCGCCTTGGGTAACTGTACGCCTTTCTCCTCTAAGAATGAATTCCTATACGTTTAATTCGCATCATATTAGTATCTCTCCCTGCATTTAGGCTAAGACTATGGCGAAGTGGGTGGGTGAAGCATACCGAACGTGGTTTGAGAAGTCAAAGCCTGCACCGTGGTATATAGAAGAAGTTGCCATGATGAAGGTTGTTGACGAAGGAAGCGTAACTGTCGAGTGCTCTCTGAACGTTTGAGTGACTGGAGGACGCGCGGCGAGTGAGAGGGACGCGTCAGTGCACGTGAAGACACATTATGTAATAATCATTCAATAAAATGGAAAAGTGCTGAGGTCTGAGTCTCTTCTGAGGATACAAATTTACAATTACCTTCTATATCCTCTATTCCCCTCTAATAAACTGTCTTCTTTTATAAATATAATTCGACTATTAAGTGCGTACTCGTTCACGTTATGCGCGAAAACGTAGCTCTTGTTATCAAACCTTTCTCATGATGTGTGTTAAGTTTGCTTCAGGTGTACGATGATATGTGTTGGCGACTTGGTGTTGCATTTTCAGTTGCGTGCAGCATGAGGCTCCACTCCCATTCCATTTTGTGTAGTATATTTACTCCCGCAATACTTCAAGGCACGATCGCCTCTGTTTCCAGTTGCATCTTCCGGGGTATCTAAAAGTGAATTCCAACGCAGAATATCATGATATGCATAATAAATGTCAATACTGGAGTGCTTGTTTGCTCCTATTGTTAAAAGTTATGGTCTGTATGGAACTATCTCTTCATAAGCACATCGCGACTTTCCACGCCCAGATATTATTTAACACGCTATTACGATAGTTGAGGATAACTTCAAGAATATAGAATGGCTTTGCAAAAGGGGTGATCGCTGATGCTCGTAGAGAGTGCAATATAGCATATACTATTTTCTGCAATATTTGGTCCTAACTTTGTCTGATGCTCGGTAGGCGTGGTGAACAAGCAAACACTGCGTAATTTTTATTTCGCAATGGCACAATAATAAATAAAATCACTCGTCAGTAATTTCGCCTTGACGCGAAAGCGTGGCGGGGACTCTGAGGAGTCAGAATTCTACATCAAATTGCATTCTATTTATTCCGACCAACGGTCTAGGATACTACTTACTGACAGCTACAAGACAGTGTTTACTATTGACATGATGACATGATTGAGTTCCAGTGTCTGTATGCAGGAAAAAACCCAGAGACAAGAGCAAGTATATACACAGCGAAAATAACAAGTTGCAAAGGGAACGTGAAAGAAGCGTAGAACATATACACAGCATGAACATGAAAACATGCAGCAGCCCGAACAAAAAAAGAATAACGAATCTAGGGTATCCACGAAGCAAGAATTATACGCAAGTCTAAATGGGAAAAAAAGCTTCATCCTTAACACTAGTCCCCAGGAGAATCGGGTACGGCAAAGACTTTCGCGGTTGACGGGATTTTGGGATCCCATCCTAAGTTCGAGGCCACTGCTGCGGCATAGCACACCTCCCTCCCATGGCGCGGTTCGATCAGATGCCTGTGCAGGGCATCTGGACGTGAAAACGGTTCTGCCTTACAACGCGCAGGACAGTATGGGGTGATCCTTTTCACCGGCTTGTTCGTCGTTGGCAACCCCTTGCAGGTTTGCTTCTTATGACGCGTAAGCGAACTTGCGTCCGCAAAGCGTTTGTTACATAATTCCCCATTTTCCATTATGTTTTGGCAAACGGGTTTTTGCTTTCCGTTTGAAGAATCGTTGGAGGGCAAGTCCCCTCTCCTACTCTCTTTGGACGTCGAAGACATAGTCTTTTTCCCCTTATCGCGGAAAGACCCTTCATCTGAAGCAGGTGCACTCGAGCTGTATGCTGGAGAAACAGCTCCGGAAAAACATGCTTGGTTATTGTTATCAAACAGAGGATTCCATGTAGGTGCAGAGGCTCCTGCTGTGTTGTGCGGAGCAGCCGAGGAGGAGCTAGCCTGGGATTGATTTCCAGTATTGAAATCCAGAGAGGGGTCGACAAGGTCTGTACGAGACAGATAGTCGCTGCCGCCGTTGATGCCATTAACTGCAGTGTCAGTGGACGCTTGCACGTTATGCATTGTCGAGGAAGAACCGACCACGAACTCGTTGGTGGGCTGGGGCCACATGAAAGAAGGATCAACAGTAGTAAACTGGTCCGATACTTTATTACCTCTTAGAAGGCATTGATTGTTGTAATTATCGGTCATTGTACCAGGAAGTGAAGCTGCATTTGCAGGTCCAGCGATGCCACCCGTGAACGAGTGACCAGAGTAATTTGACATTGTCTGGGGGTAGTATACCCCGCCGTTTATTTCGTCGAGATTCTCCGTGGGAGCGAAGGCCGAGAAGTCGAACCACTGCCCAACGACATCATCGCCTGGTAATCCAGCCATACCCGACGCGAGATACGTGTCTGGGTCTGGAGCACTGCTTTGAGTGACAGGGCCGTTGAACTCAATTGGCTGATCTTGTGGATATGCGAAATGTGTCTGGACAGAATCATTAGATTGTTTAATACAGAGCAAAGCAAATTCACTTACGTTCCCTTGGTCAGGGTGTATTCCGGAAGGATTAGCCACAGAAATTGAAGAAGATTGCGAACTAGTATCGACCAACATTTGTTGGGACACTTGCAGAGTAGAAGTGGGGTGACTGCTGCCGTTGTCGAATGGTGTTCCTTCACCCCAGGAAGTATTGTTATCCGTTGTGATATTTGGGTATTCTGCGCCGAGCAATTTCCGCAACTCTCTCTCGATATCCTCACGGGAGGCATTAGCAATGATTTCAAGATCATTGTTTGTAGGTAGGTCTAGGAGATCGAACGTCATTCTTGGATGACCGATAGAGCACAGAACGTGTCGAAGGAGTTAGGAGAGCAAGGAAGAAGGATTCGACGGTCAGAGGGCTCAATAAATACTCAACAGGGACAAAGAGAGACAGATGAAGATACACAATCAGTACAATGTGTTTTGGCCTGCTATTGCTGCAAGCTTTGGACGAGGTAGAAGGTTGTTCGGACTTTTTGGGAAATTCCTCGTTCAACGACACTCATCAAGTCAGTGGTGGTGCAGGAATCTGTCCATGTTAGTAGATACCTTTGTGACGAATTAGGTCAGCGCAGTGTCGGAGTGGCCTTGAGAAATGGAGAGCGGGACGGCATCGGCGGATTGACAATAAGTGGTACATCGGCATTGGAAGAGCCTTCCTCTCGTACCCGCAACTGCCGAAGTGGTAGGTCAGGGTCAAATTTGTGGATGCTATGGCCGGTGTTGTTCACGCAATCGAGAGCAGCTGCCAAAGGGAATCTATTGAGCAAAGTAGCAAGGCATCTGAGTAACTCATTGAACTTGTTGAGGCCCACAATACGTCACGACAGTCGAGTCATATTAGCGACCCAGACAAAACTGCAAAGCTGTACACGAGGATCATTGGTATTGGATGAGCTTGAGTCATCGGATAGAATGAGCGTCTCTTCTCGGGTGCGAAACAGATTTTTTTTCCAAGGACTCGCTCCTTCGGGGTCGGACAAAGTTTACGAAGGCACACTTGTAGGAATACAGCCAAGAATTGCCGCGTAGAGCCTTTATAGAGAACTGTATAGAGCATCAAAATTGAGAAGAGCAGATCGTCGAGTAAATGTGACCTATTAAAAAGCGCAGCAGAGCAGGAGCTTACGCACGAAGAATCCGGTGCATCGTGCTACGAGAACATCCAAAACCGGCATGAGCTTTTTCCAGGATTTCGGATGACCTGTAAGTTATTAACAGCATACCAGAAATCGTATTTGCGTAACGACTGTAGGAGTAGTATAGAGGTGTTGTGATCCGAACGATTTCCGTCAGGTCCGTCATAACGCTTACGTAATTGTTTGATCGCACTTTGTTATCGGACCAACATTCGTAATTAAAATTAAAATTAAAAAACCACCTATAAACAACTCAAAACGCAGTCCACGAAAGACATCAAATTCTGTCATTAACATTCGAAACAAGTCGGATTACTATCCCGTTGGGATCATTTATGACATCACTAGTGCTTCATCGAATTAATCTGGTATATCTCATCAGTTCAATAGGACGCCCCGGTTCCGTCTTTTTATGTGATGCCTAGCGTTTGTCTTGACTCTATGTATGCGTGTATAAGGATATAAAGTACATACAGGTACCCATCGGATCATTATTAATTAATCTACACTGCTCTATGTCCGTATAAGCGTATAAGCATGTTCCATTCAAAGTCCAAGCATCTCCCTCTTAATTCCAATCTCATCGCGCAGCATATTCACCCGACTATCTAACCTAGACGACAAATCTGCACTACTCCCAATGATAGACATTGCTCTTTCTATTTTCTCGCTAGCCGTCTTCAGCACTTTCGCCCACCCTGACTTGCGTTCGCTCGCGTCTAATTCGGGGTTCGTCTTCTCGCGGAACTCGAGCTCCTTGAGGTCTAAAACTGCGAGTTCGAAAAATGCTACCCCGCCAACCCATTTGCTGTCAACAATTTCTGACTGGTGGGATTGTGCGTCTATGAGGAAATCTCGTGAGGATGCAAAGTCCTCAAGTGTGCGGTGGACGATTCCAAGGATGAGTGAGCGTATTGCGAGCTCATCAGGGGTATCGAGATCGTTCTTGGCGGATTTCTTCTCGGTCCCGTCATCGGGCGGGCTGACATAGGAACTCGTCGTAACGGCTACGGGTGGTGATAGTGATGTGAGCTCTTTGACATGTTCGATTGCAGTTTCTTTTGTTATGCGTTGGTACATGTTCCAGACTACAATATGACATTAGTCCTGGGATGTATTTATTCTAATGCAGTGAATAAATTATACTCACTTATTGCCAGCTCTGCAACACGGAAATTTGTAAGTAATAAATGCGGCTTATGCGAACCAGACCATACCTTCCGTAGGGCTGATCTTCATGAAATCGACATAAGCAGTCTCGTCCGACCCGTTTCTCTTCGCCTTCACTTTGTAGAAAGCAACTAACAAATCACGAGGTGAGTGTCGATATCCGAACAGCATGAAGAGGGCTATGCAGTACGCACGCTTCTTCCTAATCACCATCTCCATTGGATTCTCCTTGCCACCGATCTTTCGCTTATCCAGGAATGAAGGGACTTTGTCAAAGAGTTCCTTCGCTTTGACGCGGTCGCCAAGGGATACATAGCATCCTTAACAACGAATTAGTCTAGTCTAGTCATAAACTGCTTATAATGATGAGTATACCGCCTGCAATCATATAGTACGTAGCGTGACTCCTATCATGACATAGAAGAATAAGATTAAGCAGGCAAACGATAAGCGTGCAACCTTACCAAGTATTGACCTCCGTCATGCGCATAAACATGCCCGCAGCTTCCTCATATCGTCGCTGAGATAACAGCGTCCACGCAAGTTCGTAAACGAGCTTGACAATCATAATGTCAGACAACCCAAGTTAAGCCAAAATTGTGATCTCCTCACAAGCGCATCTGCCTGCTGAAAATGACCCGGTCGCTCAGGCCGCAACCCATCCTGCAAAACAGCAATCGCGCCCTCCGGATCATATGTCATCCGCAGAATCTTTGCCTAAAAATTCCTGATAAGTCATAGAATAGTAAAAAAACAATAATATTCCTTACTCGATTTAATATCCACATAGCACCGTCCGGATAGCGTGATATCGCACTAAAATGAACCTGAAAAGACGTTGAGGATAATACAGAGCATATACTCACCTATCAACAATAGCTTTATATTGTTTCACAATATGTGCCTCGTCTGCCTGATATCCAGAAAGGTGAAGCACGGCACCATGATACCACATAAGAGCCAACCTGAAGGTGGAATGAGACACAATAGAACGCAATCCGGGAAAGCAGCTGGTATAACCTACCCAGCAAGAAATGCATGAACGTCCTTCCTCGCTGCAGAGACGGCTAACGCCTGCAAAGCCAATCGCCGATCATGTTGGAAACCAAATAATCCAACTACAGTTCTAATTTCCCCAAATGAGCATTCAAATCTATCTTGTTTAAAGTTGTGTTACTCACTTTACTTTTGCAGGTAGGAGAGAGAATATGAGGTTGAACAGTCCATAGCCTTATTGATATATTAGGCACACAAACATAACATATTCGTGGAGAGGGCATACCGAAAGCTGCGCCGGATACAATCAGTTCTTCAACTGGTCCTTCCGGTTCGAGCACCGACTGTGGAGGACCTTTGGAGGTATTCGACGCGGAAAGACCCCACCGACCCAAGAACGAACTTCCTTTAGACGACGCAGAGGAAACTGTGACTGTTTCCGTAGTGGATCTCACGGAGCCTGTAGAAGCCAAGGAATGTGTTGACGGACTCCGAGAAGGGATAGGGGTTGCTGCGGGAGTGATGTATGAATCGATTCCAGTCGGGAAAATAGTCTTATACAGCCTAGGGGAAAAGTGAGTACATGAAAAGTAAAGAAAGAATAAACAGGACACACTTCGTGAACCTCGAATGTGCACTGATGACGGTGATATAAGTAGAACCCGTAGTAACATAAATAAACACGCTCACTTGTTCAGCGCGTAACTAAAATATTAATCAGTACAAAACGTTCTAGTTATCACTCGAATACGAACAGGCATTGGAGATATCCCATGTACGTTTCACTTATATTTTATCATATCAACAAACAGCTCTACATTCAATCGAGTAGTGCCACTCGCCTCAATGCATGGACAAGGCCTTGCAGGATAATTGCATGTGCTTGCAAGATCTCAAACTCAATTCCGGGAGGGAACGAACTCCTTCCACCATTTGCAGTCATATTGGTCCTGCTACGCTTCTTTGCACCCGCCTCCGATTCGCTAAGACAACGCGCAGCTTCACCTATCAGATTTGTCTAATCAACCGCTTCTTCTTTAGTTACTGTGACATGGAGAGGGACAGTAAGCTCGTAGACCCTCACCTCCATACCTAGCGCCGCTTGCATGAACGCACAAATCCCTTGTCCAAGTAAATGATACGGAGAATCATCCGAAGCAAACTGTTCTCGCGCGTCCGCGAGTCGGTTTGAGAAGAGAAGATCAAACCCTTTCGTCGCTGATAGAAGAGCAGCCTCTTCTGCGTCAACAACGTCCTTCCCTGAGCTGTTCTTGTTTGCCATGATGATTATTGATAGAGAATGGAAAGTAGGAGAACTGCACGAGCTCCGGTGCCGCTACAAACTTGTATAACGCGCAGCGCAAAGCTCCGTTGGCCGACAAGAAGCGCCGAGCAGAAAGCAACGTCGATCACATTGGCTTATTCAGCAAGTTGTTTGTCGTTCGTGCTTGCGTAAGCAGTGCGCATTTTTGCCATTCAGCAAAGTTATCCCTCTGCTAGATCCAGCACTGGCCAAGCCAGACGGATGCAATATGTCCCACAAAACCCCAAAAACATGTTGAATCTGCAGTGCACATGATACACGTCTTGTCGAGAAGTCAAGTTTATTTAAGTACTGCAATATAAGTCCGATAAATGCTACGATCCATGAACAAGAAAGCCATCTCATCTACGCATATTTATACATAAACAAAAATCCAATAACTATACATGGTGAGAAGAAGAATCCGGACAAAATGATATCCCAGTCCCTGTGATGATCGTATCTAATTGCGTATCATCTCTTGGAGGATCTTTATGTGCATCAACTCCTATCCTGCGGATGTCCATGAGGATCCGCCCTGTTAGTACAGAATGGATGACTCGTTCCATGCTGTGGCCCGATACGGATCAGTAGTATTCAAATTTCTAAAAAGTAAATGTAGACCCACCTTGACAAGATGTTTGTAAGTCCAGGCTTGAAAGCGGAACGCACTAGTGTTAATACAGTTGGAGAATAGAACTAAAAACCATTCCTCACTGGATGCTTGATGATTATGATGATATTTGCTAATGAAAGGGCTTGAAAAGAAAAACAAGTGTATGAATATTCACAATCACGCCGATCCACGCGAGAACATACCAAAAAGATAGACGTAGAATAGAGATCCTAAGGAAAAATGTGTAAGTCATTGAGTCTCGTCATTTAGCAGGGTTGAAATACCGTCCGCATAGATTCGATTGAATACATAAGAAGGGCCGTGCTTTTTGTCTGCAACAGAAATGGCAATGAGCAAGACGAGAGATATTTGCCTTATTATTCCTCAGACTCACAGACTCTGATGGCTTCGGCCACCATCAGGGTAAGAACGACTTAGTGAGTTTATTAAGTAGAGTATCATGCCAATCAAAATTATCAGGACGTACTCGATTCAAACGCCGCAAGCAATCCCCAGGCATAACTAATGTACGACCTTCCCTTAATAATCAAGCATCCGTGAAGATGAAATGGTAAAGTGGCGACTAGTTAGGTAAAACCAGCGCACGCAGGCTTGCGATCAGTGCGACATAGAGGCGAATACAAAAGGAGATGACCCACATTGGAAGCTATGCACGCTGATCGCTGCAACGACCACCAACGGAATTAAGATGAGGAACGCCGAGACACAAAGTACCAGTGCAATTCTCCATGAAAAGTCATAAACGGCCCACGTCCGAGTGGCAAGTATAGCTGCGAGCGGGTAAGGCATCAGAAACGCTGCATATAAGGAGTTACCATAAGCGACAGTGAGAACCTTCTGCTCCGCATATTCCTACGGCTAGCATCCCTGTATAAGCGAGACGATAACGTCAATGAGCGGTTGATGACGCCGCAGAGCAAAAACCCACAAAACGTAGACCGATATGCGAACTGGCAGTCTGCTTCAGCCATATCAGGTGTGGAAACCTCTGTAATATATGTATTCTCAGCACGCATTCCTAACCAATTGACGGTGGTGTGTATACGTACGCCAGATGACGATGGACGTGTCGACAAACGGCAGATATCGCGTCAGGAAGAACATGAATTTCGGAAATGACCACGGTGAGGGCCACATGAGGGATGATTCGTCGTGAAAGGTGATAATGTAATCGTAAACCTGCTATCCGTGAGCAACCTAACATTGTACCGAGGAGAATAAAGTGTTTACCAGGACGGCCATGCTCGACACTTGGGCAACACCATGAGCATAACATATTATAACTACTAAATTGCCATACGTACTTTCTACGTACTAGCAGCCACTTTATATCAGTGATCGCAACGCCCACAAACCACTCATAGAAGCAGACTTACCCCGGCATACCGTAAATTCCTGACAACAGTCTGGAGCGTAGCAGCACTGACGTTCTTGCCATAGTCCATGTGCAAGTCAAAAGACAAAACGTGCCAGATGCTAGGAACCGAAAACGAGGCAAGTTACAGTAAACCATCCGTCATCGCCCAGCTATAAAATACGGCATCGGCATCTTCCAGAATTCTCTGTATGCGTTTTAAGGAGATAAAACGTATATGGGAGATCTACTCAGATGATAGGCGTATTAATCGGACGCTTGCAAAGCTTCCTTTGAATGTCATGGACACGCGTGCTAGGGCTATTAGGGTTACATCAATCGGCGCTGCGATCATTTTTTGCGGAGTGGGTTGAGTCAGTAGCCCATCTCAATTCTTGTATTTAACGAATATTTACCTCGGCATAAAAAAGAGGGGACTCCCAGTAGAATGGTACCCTAACCGTTTTAAGTAGTGTCTCCGTGCGTGCCTTAAAAACAGCAAATACACCTCGCGAGGTGTATTTCTTGTATTTATCGCGTCGGAGAATGAACCAAGACTGTCGGCTGGCCCGGCAGCCTTCTTGTTTAGTGTAGCACCGTCATAAAATAATAATACTACATTTTTGAGTGAATTTTTGGCGCCAGGCAAAGCTACACTTGAGGGTGAAGTGGATGGTGTGGACAGACTCGGCTCAGGAGAGGCAAGTGGTGTCCACTGCTTCCGTTATTCAAAATGGTGTCATGGACAGTACTAGGGAATGTATCTTGTGAGACATCGTTCTGCTATAAAAATACACATTTCTGCCCATTTTTTGAGACATCATACCCTTGTCTAAACTATGGCTAGACAGTGCAACAAAGTCTCCCTTCGAATTTCCTTGAAAAAATTGGCTGTTTTTCTATTAGCAAGATCTGACAGTAATGAAGAAAAGCTTCAGGCTCTAATATATCTTATGCTTGCAAGAAGACTTAGGGCAGCAACTGGTCCAAGAGGGTCTTATATTGCAGACAAATCTGATGATTTTCTGCACAAACTCCTTTCATACTTTTCCATCTAAGTGGTTTAATCTCATCTAAGGGGAGTATAAATTTGTAAAATATACTTATTCATCTA